GAAAGGCAGCAATCCTCATTTTTTTATTTTGTTAGTGCTTTAGACTAGAATCTTCTCTAAAAAGTGTTGGTGCTGTTTCACATACCCATAAAATTTTTCTAAGTGTACATGCAACATTCATTTCTCTCATTCTTCCAATTCAAGTAGCAGTGTTTCTAATGAAAAAATTTCATACTAAAATGTATAACAAAATGATTTTGTGTTTCTCCTTTCACACACTGAGGAAATCATGCAGGAAAGGAAAATAAACCATTCTCTTCTGGGGTGAAAGCATTCACATCTGATAAGTGACTTGAAAGTAAAGTGAGATTTTTACATAAACATTTTACATTTTTTATGGACTTGTCTTTATTGGCATTCTTTTCAGGAAAGAGTTATTACTAAAAAAATATGCACATGGAAAAATGTATGACAAAGTATATTTATAGATAATTTGTGCTAGAGAAATGAAGAAATCTTGCAAAGTGAATATGAGAAAAAAACCTAGTAATAAAAAGGTTCTAGGAGAGTATTATTACAGACAAAAAACAAAACAAAAATGTTTTGCTTTATGTGAGCATGGGACTACGATTAAAAAATACTATCTGGAGATATGAAGAAGAAGGAGAAATAAACAACTACTCAGAGAGGGGGAAAAAAATACAACAGAAAATGCTTTCATAAATTTCTGGTTTTAGAATGTCGTCTGTATCTTCATATGGCCCCCTGGATGGCTGTCAAGTCAGAGCTGGACTAGAAATGCGGTTACGGGATCTAAGATAAACTTTCTTTTACATTCTTGCTCCACCCCTGAAATTCTTTTTGACTGCATTTAAAACATTGGCTGCCAATTAACTCAGCCTTTTTTTATGTATTTAGAGGCCGTAGGCTGTAGTGAAATCTTTATAACATATTCCACAGTGGAGAAAAAGCAAACTGACAAACGCCCCATGCCTTCAACTCCCACCTTTGGCTTTGCACCCTTCTGGCTAGAACTTTATATAAAAACAGTGAAACTCTATTTCAATGTTAACTGCTGTTGAGAACAGGCATAATACATGACCACCTTAGAGGATAACCAATTACAGATGTGTTTTATAGCATTTTGTTGGAAGGCATAGGATTTATATTCAGGGTATATACTTGGCATAAACTATGTGCCAGGTACTAAGCTACTCTCTATCTCCATAGAGGATGCAAAGATGAATAGAACACAGTTATGTCTTTAAGGGGCTTACAATCATGTAGGGGATGTGAAATATTATAAGCAACTATAATAAAGATATATATGCAAAGAAGCTTTGATTGCCTCATTTATTCATGGCCTCCTCCAAAGAAAAAACAGCATAAGGTTGCTTCTTTATGCCTATGGTATGCATATTCTTCTCAATGCTTTGAATGATTGAATCGGAGATCAACACCTAAACCCAGAAGCGGTCTAAGGAACAAGCTCTTCCAGAGAATGGAGTTCAAAACCAAGTCCTTCAGTGCCTCGCTTAATTAAGTTCACCTTCCGGAAGTTTGAATGTGAGACATGCAGGGAGAATCAGTTTGTTTGTAACATGGCTGGAGTTGAAGAAGCAGAGACAGAAGGTTATGAAATTACTGCAACAGCAGAAAAGTAGAATAAGGAGCGAGCAAGGATGTGTTACTGGAGTTGAAAGAATGGGCTTGGCTAGCTAAGCAGGTGGCTAAAACTTCTCAGCCTGGAGGGTCCCAAGCACTGCTATGTCCTGGATTCAGGTTCTGTTCTCTGCTGATTTGACTGTTGAGACTATTCTTCCTTTTACGTCCTGTGGACCTTCACAATGCATTCCTAGTAGCTACAAGCTAACCTGGGTGTGCCTATTCTTGCTCATGGAGAAGGTCCTTCCAAACACTACAAAACAGTAGGAGGGATCAAAAATTAAAATACTTGGCAGCACAATCCTTATCTTGCAATTTCACCATCAGACACTGAGAAGATCCACAGATATTTGAATGAATATTGAATAAGGGAGATGGGTAAAGTATAATGAGAGTTAAGAAGAGTGGGAATTATTTCTTGCTGAGAGAATCAGAGATAAGCTTTTATGAAGACACATCTGAGCAGAGCCTTGAAGTCAGAGGGTGCTTAGTTAGGAGTGAAAGGCAGGACTTCTGCAAACACATGCTCTAAACCTGAGACTTTTAAACTGTTTTAAAAGTATTACGTTGTTGTGAAATTTTTTAAGGTTATGATGAAAACACACTGGAGAGAATATAATGAAAATAGTAGTTAAAGGGTTGCATCTTTGAAGGTATTCACTTCCCCATAAACCCAAGGAATAGGTCTTACACCTGGGCATACCCGTCTTCCCCATTACAACCTGTCCTAGCAAAGGTTTGAGGATTAGGGAAGATTCAGACATGGAAACAAGAATTCCAGGCAGTGGACAAAGTCATAATAGTGGGACAAACAGGGAAGTAAAGAAGCTTAGCTTCAAGTAAAGCATCAGAAGGGGAATATTATGCTGAAACCGGTTTGGCTCAATGGATAGAGCGTCAGCTTGGGGACTGAAGGGTCCTGGGTTCGATTCCGGTCAAGGGCATGTACCTTGGTTGCGGGCACATCCCCAGTAGGAGGTGTGCAAGAGGCAGCTAATCGATGACTCTCTCTCATCGATGTTTCTGACTCTCTATCTCTCTCCCTTCTTCTCTGTACAAAAATCAATAAAATATATTAAAAAAAAAAGAAAAAAAAAGAAGGGGAATATTAGTCGGAAAAGAGGTTGGGAACATTGATTTGGGTTTGCACTTCATTCTGTAGGTATTTATCCTTAGGCATTTATGAATTCTAAACAAGGGAGGAATGCCAGCATTGTGCTTCAAGAGGATTAATCTGAAAATGGTATATGAAGTGGATTTGAAGAGGGTAAAATCAAGTTAGAATTCAGTGCAAAAGCCCAGGTGGCAGGTAATGTGGATTACCATCACTGTAAAACTACATGTACTTTTCAGTGTTACTATCCAGTATTTGTGTTAGTGATATTTGTGTTAGTGTCTTGCATTTATACATAGCTTTATTATTTATTTACATGGAATAGCTCCTTAAGATATGTTATAACACAGCCAACACTATGCGTCCTTTAATTTATAGCAACAAGATTGCATGCAAGATGCAAAATCCCCCAACAGCTTGTTTCTTCAACAGCACATAAGGAAAAATAATAACCACTCCACATATTGTTTACTATTTTGGGTAGCGATGTTACCGAAACCTAGCCAGTCTCAAACTCTTTTTACAAAGAAATACTTTTTTCTCGGGTGCTCTGAAAATTCTTAGATTTGAAAGAAAACCGAAAGCAACCTACCTTGGAATGTTGAGTCTCATGGGTTAATATCCCAGTGCCTGACACTGCCCCTTTGGGAATTTTATCAATTCACATTTCACACTGTGAATGCACATGCATCGAAGCAGCCTGACTCTAACCACCTGAATGCAAAGTCATGAGGAATGGTTTTCAAATGTTCCACTCTAGAACAATTTGAAAAAGATGGGCCAACTGTCTATTGATAATGCCATCTTCTTTTCTTTATGGCATTTGGTAGGATTTTGGATTTTCCTTAGAAAAACAGCTTGCCCAATGACTCTCAGTCTTCCTGAGACACCAATAAGTGAAGGTAATCACATCCATCACATCCTCCCGTGGGAACTAGCTGCCACTCCCACTCAAGAAGCATACAAGAACCCATGTCAGCCTGAGAACCATGTGCTAGGAACTAACATGAATTAAATTTTTTAAAGCCAACCTAAGAATGAAATGCATTAGTATTAGTCACAGATGATTTGTGTATCTCCTCATAATTAAACACCTCACAACACCTGGCTTCAGTGAGAACTGCTAGACTGATGATGTTATCACCACCAAGCATTACTCAGTGTCAGCAAAGTACACACACAACTTACTCCCCCACCATCCATTTATGTGCACATTCCCAGTCTCAAAGAGACACAGACAAGTACATTCTTCATTTTAACTTCTGTTTTCAAGCTCTATCAAAAATTATATACAATTGCATAGAATTTTGCTCTTTTACTTTTTTTTAAAATTATTGATTGATTTTAGGGAGAGAGAGAGAGGAAGTAAAACACCAATTTGTTCCACTTATTTATGCATTCATTGGCTTATTTTTGTATGTGCCCTGAATGGGGATTAAACCCACAACCTTTGTGTGTTGGGATGATGTTCTCACCAACTAAGCAACCTGGACAGGGCCATGCTCTTTAATTTTATGTGTAAGCACAGTGAATCACAAAAACAAAACAAAACAAAAAACAACAACAACAAAAAGACACTTTGATTTTAAAATTAGTTTGGTTATTGAGGACTTACTTTGTTTGTTTTTGTTCCTAAAACTGATTTCGGGGTAATAGATATTCTAAACTAGCGATTTTCAGCCTTTTGAGTCATTCACACCAAACAGCTATTGTGTTGGCTGTTTATTTGACAGTCTAAGGGAAAAGAGGTCAGTGCTCCTGACTAAATAGTGAGGTTTTGCATGTTTTAAAAATTCTTGTGGCACACAGGTTTAAAAGTGCTATTCTATTCATCAAGAGAAAACAGGAAATATGCAAAAGATGTTCAATGGTGGCTAAATGCCTTCTTTCATATAACATCATGAGAATTTGCACAATGATCACAATTTTATCTATTAACAAAACTCAAATAGGTAGTCCTACCCTTAACTTTTAAAAAACAGTACAGCCCTAGCTGGTTTGGCTCAGTGAATAGAAGGTTGGCCTGCAGACTGAAGTGTCCTGGGTTCAATTCCAGTCAAGGGTACATGCTCGAATGTGGGCTGGATCCCTAGTATGGAGCATGCAGGAGGCATCTGATCAATGATTCTCTCTCATCATTGATGTTTCTATCTCTCTCCCCTTCTCCCTCCTTCTCTGAAATCAATAAACATACTTAAAAAAAAAGATTATCTCTTTAAAACAAAAAACAAAAACAAAACAAACAAACAAACAAAAAACAACAACAGTACAAGCTGTATACCATTCTGAAGCCAGGAGAAACAGCAGGATGAGGATCCATTTATCTTAGCTTGTGCAGGTAACAGCATGTTTCAGGATGATTTTCTGGAATCATGCATTTATATTTTTACTTATTTTCTTGGTTGGCCACATTCTTATTTATTCTGACACACCATCAATATGCATTTTAGGATTTCTTTACTTTTTTCATTCAGCAAATGTTCTTGAGAATATACTATGTGTTCTACTTTTAGGAATTCAACAAGAATAGAATACAAATTCTAGCTCTTGTATAGCTTAGTTTCTAGTTGAGGAAAGACAGATCTTGAGCAAAAAATGTATTGTGTGACAGATGGTGATACTTTCCATGGAAACAGGGACGCAGGTAAAGGGAAACAAGAGTTCTGGAGTGAAAATTACAGTTCAAACAAGGTGATCAGGAACCTCACTGAGGAAGTGGCATTTCAGCAAAGACCTGAAGGAATTGGGGAGAGAATTCTGTAGTTATCCGAGGGAAAGAGCCTTCCAGGCAGGAGGAACAGCGCGTTCAAAACCCTGAAGTGAGTGTCTGCTGGTCTCTCCAGAGGGCAAGAGGAAGCCAGTGTGGCAACAAAAGAGCAGGAGGAGGACATGTGATTAGGAAGCCAGGGGGGTCTCTGGTGGGCCATTGTGAGGGGTTTGCCTTAGAATGCAATAGGAACCTATTGGAGGAGTGACAAGATTTTATTGTGACTGACTTGAACATCAGTAGATGGGATACAATGTGAATATGATGTCACTTAGTGATGATTTCTAGAGACCTAAGGTGTTTTATGGAGCTGGGCTAAGATTTAGTGTCTGAGGAGTTTTGGTATTTGTCCCGAAAAAGGGAAAGAAAGAAAGAAAGGACAGGGGAAGGGGAGGGGAGCAAGGGAGGAACAAAGGAATGAAGGAAGAAAAATAAAAGAAACCAAGTATTGTTGAGATATTAAGAGTAGTAACTTTCTACTTGGGTGGTATGACTCAGTGGTTGAGTGTTGACCTATGAACTAGGAGGTCATGGTTAAATGCACATGCCTGGGTTTCGAGTTTGATCCCCAACAGGGGGTGTGCAGGAGACAGCTGATCAATGTTTCTCACATCATTGATGTTTCTCTCTCCCTCTCCCTTCCTCTATGAGATCAATAAAAATATATATTAAAAAAAGTAGTAACTTTACAACATTATCCATGTTACTGACAAACCTGGTAAATTAAAACAATTTAGAGAACATATAGTGTATTTATAGTTACAAAAAAATACATGACAATTATTTGGTTTTGTTCACAACTTTCCTTTAAGCCAAGACAAACTGCTACTCTATCAGTTAAACTATCTGCAAAATGCACAAAATCTGTTATTTGGAAACATTTCATTGGCATCCTGGAAGTTCAATTAATTAATATCTGTAAGTACTTTGAGATCATTAATAATACAAAATTGACCTAAAAACAAAGGTTTTTCAATGACTGCAAAGAAGTCCATTATTTGGGACATCTGTTTTACCTCTGTAAAGTATCTTAGCAATAATTTCTCCTGATCACTATTATCAATCGATGCCATCTCACAGAGACTCAGAGAGCTGGTCCTGAGAAGTAAAATGATAAATTTAGGAAAAGCTAATTATTGCATTGGTCTCTGTTAAATTTGGCCTTATTTTATTAGCAAAACATAAAAATAAAAATTCTTTTGAACAATTCTCAAAGTATAGTCCAGGCACTCGTGGGGGTTTCAAGGCATTTGTACTTCACTTGATCTTAATCAAAAGGCTGAGAAGCAATCAAGACATTTTTAGATCTGCAAAGTCAAACCTGTATTCACAATAATAGCAAGATATTATTTTCTTTTTTCACTTTCATTTCTCTTATGAGTGTACGGTGACATTTTCTAGAAGCTATGTGTGCTTTCTGAACAGACCCAGGAGAAGATGCAAGACGAGCTTACTTCTCTTTTCAAGCCACACATGAAAGTGATTTGCAAACATGTTAAAGCAATGCTATTCTTCTTACTACTTTTCAAACTATTTCAATTTATTAAGATGTTATTCATGTTAAGATGTAATGAGTTTATTTTTGTTATTTTAAGCGAATTAAACAAGAAAGTCAATGCATGTTAAGTATATGTAAGGATCTTGAAACTTTTGAAAACCTTAGAACCACTACTTTTGAATGTACTCTCCAAGAGCGCAGATATTTTTGAGTTTTGTGAATCAATGAACAAATATCCAAAAGAGTACTTAGCATATAGTAACTGCTTAATAAATACTGACTGACTGACTGACTGACTGAATGAATGAATGAATAATTATTACTAAGATGTTAGATGAACTAACATGGGCTTCTTAAGGGCAAATGGTAATATTTATGTTTGTTGAAGTTTGTGCATAGAATTATTACATAGAATTATTTTATGAAGACATTACAATTGTTAATGAAAGGAATTCAGAATAAAATGAAATAATCATTTATATTTCCATTTGCAACTTCTCCACACATTCACAGACCGCTAATATAAGAATTATGACTCTATCAGTGAAAACAAAGATGTTCGAGTTCTCAGCATGTGAAAGACTGGTCCTCTATTCTTTTTGGTACATTCACAAACTCCTACATCTTGGCTTTCAAGGGACATTTGACAAGGCAAACATCTTCCACCGAGAGAAGAATTTTGCAAAAGAATGACTGGCTTCTTTCAGCTGAGGACATATAGATACCAAATTAGATGCCTGATCCCAAAGGGATCTAATGCCTCTAAACTCTAAAATATTAAATTCATGTGCACAAATAAATCCTATATGAATGCTCTTTACCATGAATGGAATAGAAGCACTTTACAACATATTTAATAACTGGTTAAGGGAAAAAGTCAAAAACTAGGAAAATCAGGCTTGTAATCAATGGGTTGTCCAATGAGTACCTTCTTGGCGAATTAGAAGGAAGGTATTTTAAAAAATACTAGTGATATCTAATATTTCTAAATAGAAAAAGAATTAGAAGGATTTTTAAAAATACTAGTGATTTCTAATATTTCTAAATAGAAAAACATTCAATGAAGTACTATTGTATTAGGGAGATAGAAACAAAAGAAAGAGACTATTTGCAAAGTTCTTACTTAGAGAGGATTATTAGTCCTATTTTTTCTTCAGAGCAGTATACCCACAGATTTTTATTAAGTGACTACTATGTTCCTAGGTCTCTCTGGATATGGAGGATTCAATGTTCCCTGGCTCATGAAATTTATATTTCAGGGAGAAAATAGACAAGCAAACACAGAAACAACCATGATAGTTTCAGGTGTGATCAGCATGATTAATCAAGTCTCTATGTGAAGGAGTGATTTGTTGGAGAGTAGAAGTCAGAGAATAGGGAGGGGAGTGCTGATGTAGGCTAGGTGTTGAGGAATCTCGCGGGAAGTGGTGGTATTAATCTGACACCCAACATCAAGAAGAGGCACGCAGGCAGGAGCATCCTCAGCAGAGGAAATTGCTAGTTCAAGGCCCTGAGGAGGGAATGAACGTGGTACGTAAAGGGAAGAAAAAGGTGGCTAGTGTAGTTGGAGTCTAGTGAGGAAAGGGATCATACGTGATGTGTTCAGAAGTAAGTAAAAACTGCAGCATGAGATGACTTAAATGCATTTTAATTTTCTTCTGAGAGCAATGAAAAGCCTTTGGAGAGCTTGATCTGGTCACATGATTCAATTTGCATTTTGAGAAGACTCAGTCTGGCTGCCCAGAGGAAATGGATTGTAGGGAAGCCAGTGTAGAGCAAGGGATCCATTAACGGATGACTGTCCCCCTGGGAGAGGGACAATGCATGGTGGCTCGGAATGTAGTGGTAGCAGTGAAGAAGAGAAGTGGACAGCGATGGATTGATTTGTTCTTTGTTGAAAGCAGTGTATGAAACTTGTCTGGCTCATTGGGAGAAAATAGACAAGCAAACACAGAAACAACCATGATAGTTTAACAAATCGTACCTTATGGCATTGCTTCATTTTTAAATGCATAGCTTACAGAGACTCGTGGATTTGTGCTAGCTCACATGACTAGTAAATTTAGCCAGTGTACAATTCCCACTGCCACCAGGTACTGTTATACCATTCACAAAACCCCTCCCTGAGGTCTCTTCTCTTTCTGATCTTTTCTGCATTTGTTACCGTTTAATCTTTCTCAAGCATTGCTTTCATTGTGTTTACCTTGCTGATAAGGACCTTACATGTACTAGTGTAGTTACTGAGTAATTACAGTGGACTATGTTTGTATGGGTGGGTGGGGATCACATACTTAAGATATGGCTCTCGCCTCTAGGACTTAGAATTTACTTGGGAGAGACATAAGTAACCCATATGAAATAATAGATGGATAAAAAAGATGGCATAATTAACAAAGCTTTCACAAAGGAGGTTGGATTTGTTCTAGATCTTGAAAGAGAGAATTTTAGCAAAGACAGAGGCTGAAAGATGCTGGGTGAAAAAGGAGTGAAGACACAGTTACCTAGTTTTGTACTGTAGAGAGAAGGATTGCTTGAGGAGGAGAGAGTACCTGCTTTGAGGAGGTGGGAGACAAAGTCACAGGGCAGGATAGTGCCAGACAATAGATGCTATCAAAAGCTAGGTACCAAGAATTTGGCCTTGATTCAACTGGATACAAAGAGTTATTAAGATTAGTAAGCAAGATTCACTCTTAGTGAAGGCTTACCTAAGACCAGGGATCATTCCTCACTAAATTTCTAAGGAATTTATCATCATCTTTAGGTACTAAGCTTATTAATTCTTTGTGCTTTTAAAATATATAATCTTTATGAGTGCATCCTATATGGAGAAAGTACAGAAGAAATGTTTGACGATGATGAAAGACATGTGTAAGGAAGATTAATTTGGCAATTTTTGGCAACAGCAGATGGCCTGAATTGAAGAGAGGAAAGCCAGGATGCAGGAAAGTCATGAGGAAGTCGTTCCAGAAGTTCAGGTGTGAAGCGAAGAATGTGGAAGAGGCAGATAAGAGAAAATGCTTAGGAAATATAATAAGGGAGCTGTAATCAATTTGAATGCAGAGTGGGTTAAACATTAATTTCATTTTAATCAATTTGAATGCAGAGTGGGTTAAAAATTATTATTATTTTTTAATATATTTTATTGATTTTTCACAGAGAGGAAGAGAGAGGGATAGAGAGTTAGAAACATCGATGAGAGAGAATCATCGATCAGCTGCCTCTTGCACACTCCCCACTGAGGATGTGCCCGCAACCAAGGTACATGCCCTTGACCGGAATCGAACCCGGGACCTTTCAGTCCGCAGGCCGACGCTCTACCACTGAGCCAAACCGGTCCCGGCTTTTTTTTTTTTTTTTTTTTTAATTGATTTTTTAGAGAGAGGAAAAGAGAGAGATAGAGAGCTAGAAAGGTCGATGAGAGAGAAACATCGACCAGCTGCCTCTTGCACACCCCTTACCGGGGATGTGCCCGCAACCAAGGAACATGCCTTTGACCGGAATCGAACCCAGGACCTTTCAGTCCACAGGCCGACGCTCTACCACTGAGCCAAACCGGTTTCAGCAAAAATTATTATTTTTTAATATAAAGTTTTGAAGGACCATCATGCCCTTCATGTAAGATGGAGAACTTGGGAGGGGTTATTAGTTTGGGAGGATTAAGAAGGGGAATTTGATTTCAGACAGGCATTTTCGATGAGGACAGGGTATTCATTTAGAAATGATCTAGGATTTGGGCTAGATAAGAATGAAGTGACTATGTAGAGACTGCTGAAGGTTTGTTATGATTTCACCCACGTTAACCAAAATTTATAGAGGTCCTACATAAATTTGTGCAAAGAGCTATAGGATATAGAGTTAAAATCAGAATGGACTTTGAAGAATTAACTGCCCACTGGGGAAAACAGATCATGCAAGAAAAGAATACAAAGTGAAATGAAATAAGCGTCAGAGGAGATATATGCTGGGTAAGTGAATTAAATAACACCTAGTTAGTGGCACGAATTTCCCATGTGAGAAAACTGACATCGAGTCCACAAAAGTATCCAGAGGTGGTTCCTCCTGATTAACTTTCCCTGACGGTTACGGCGCCTTATTCAAGTTCATAGGAGCTTTACCTACCTGGGCAAAGCAGCTGTCTTCTCCCGGTGGTGGCCTGCGGGAAGAATCTACCCCCTCCCAGGCTGGGGTCTCTTTTTTACAAGGATAACAGTAAAAAGCGAATGGTGGGTAGTCACGTAGATCACTACAAAGAACAATGCACATCTAAGTTAACAGATAACATCACACAGTTCTCCACACTCTACACATCCATTAACCTCCTTCCTAGAGCCTAACGTTTACCTTTGGGCCACATTCTGGAGGCTGCAGAGAGTTAAACAGTCACAGAAAGTTAAACAGAGAGTCCAACATTTCCCAGATGCCTTTACTGCTGGAGTCATGTTAAATCTATAAAGTGAGTTCCACTATAGACCCAAAGGCAATGCTCTCTAAACCAGGCTGGCCACCGATTAGGAAACTTGTGTCCCATAAAGGCCTTTCTTGTTGACCAGTGAAATGACAAATGTATTCAGATCCTCTCTCTTGGGAGGTTTTAAATGTAAGTCATAGAGAGTAGTCACTAGAAGCAGAGGTAGCAGAAGCTGAGACCAATATGGGAAAGAAGCAGAGAGATGTTGATTCAGGAGAATGGCGAGATTCCTCTAGTATGAGCAATAGATGCTCGCTAATGAGGGGATGAGCAAGGCACCCCGGCCTGTTGCTGGATTGCAAGAACTGCAGTTGGTTCTTGGAATGGGCAGTAGTTCTGGTGGATGATAAGGCTTTCTGAAATGTCCTTATTTCCTTAAAATAAACCCTCAGAGTCTCCAGTGCTCTGAACATGGCCTGACATTTTACTTAAGAGCCCAACTAGCACAAGGGTATTCCTGTGGTTTGCTTTGATTATATCCGCAGAAGAGGGTACCTTTTAAAGGAAAGGGCCAGGGTGATATTTATTAAGCAAGATCAAAGGATGTGGGCATGTGCACGTGTGTCTGTGGCTGCCTTCCCAGAAGAGGGTGATGGGAGAGGGTGGAAATACAGTTGCATCTTAGAGCAAGCCTGGAATCCTTAGGTTCGAACTTTTTTGTTACCCTTCTCAGTCTTTTCCCATCGTGATCACAGTACAGGACACTGTGCATGTCCTGGGGGAGAGCAACGAAAGGGACAGCCAGGAAGACTGTAGGATGCAGCCACCAGCGTGAGAAAGAGAAAGCCCCCAAATGTAGAGGGCCAGCTGGGAAGGCACATGGACAATTCTCCTTAATTATCGTCAGCTGAACGCAAGGGGTAGGCAGAGCCACACCTTGGAAACGTTTCCCAAGATGGTGGACATGTTGTCAGCTTGGCCTTCATATCAGCCCAGGTGTCGGCAGGGGCGGGACTAGATATGTAAATCCAGACATGCTAGGGCCTACTTAAGAATGCAAATAAGCCGAAGCTGGTTTGGCTCAGTGGTAGAGCATCAGTCTGCGGACTGAAAGGTCCCGGGTTCGATTCCGGTCAAGGGCATGTACATTGGTTGCAGGCACATCCCCGGTAGGGGGTGTGCAAGAGGCAGTTGGAGAGGCAGTTGGTCGATGTTTCTCTCTCATCGATGTTTCTAGCTCTCTATCTCTCTCCCTTCCTCTCTGTTAAAAATCAATAAAATATATTTAAAAAAAAGAAAAAGAAAAAAGAAGAATGCAAATAAGTTGGTGTTACTTCCTGGCATTGGGGGTATAAAAAAAAAATGCCCTGGGAGGGGTTGTCATTGTCTTCCTGCCTCTCCAGCAGACAGGATGGCGGCCCACCCAGCTCCCAGCTTAAAAAAAAATATCTCTTTGTCTTCTCTCTTTATTTCTAATATTTCTCAATCCCTGGCCGCCTCCACTTAGAACTGGTTCGTTCATCTCTCTTTCCATGGAGGACGCAGAAAAGGGAGATCCCCGCCATGTCTGGCACCACCACATCAGGCCCCTGCACCCAAAAGCAGAAGGCACAGATTCCCAAAGGGAAAGAGAGAATTTGAGTATCTGGATGAAAGTTTCCCAATGTATAGACTGCTGGCCACGGGTTTAAGATCACCTGATTTGATAAAAATGAAGATTTCTGGTTCACCTTAGACCAATGGTTGGCAAACTCATTAGTCAACAGAGCCAAATATCAATAATGCAATGATTGAAATTTCTTTTGAGAGCCAAACTTTTTAAACTTCAACTTCTTCTAATGCCATTTCTTCAAAATATAGTCGCCCAGGCCATGGTCTTTTGTGGAAGAGCCACACTCAATGGGCCAAAAAGCTGCATGTGACTCGAGAACCTGGGTTTGCCAACCACTGCCTTAGACCAACTGAATGGGATCTTTGGATGAGGGGCCTAGGAACTTGCATTTTTGAAAGTATATCAAATGCTTCATGAAGTGCTTACCTTTGAAATCCACTGCTGTAAGCCCAGGGTGAAGGAAGTGTTAGGGAGGCCGCTGGCTTCTGAGAAAGCATGCAGGACTGACTGGCAGAAAGGCTTGACATAGCCTATGTGCGCATTGCTGTAGATGTGAAAGGAAGGAGAGATAGTGTGAGGTGACGCTGGGTGATAACTGAGACCATATGAATGGATTAGGTTTCTGCTAATGCCAGAATTTCCATAATCAGCATAAAAGTGCAATATAAAGCTCCCCCCTTCCCCAGCCCCCTCTCCCCCATCTATATTTGTCCTTTTAAGATTTATGGAGGACTAACTACAGGGAGAACATTGTATTAACAGCTGAAAGAGAGGACAAAAGCTCATCATGTACTTGGAGTTGGACAAAATAAATCAGTGATTCATATTTAAGTGACTACAAAGCAACTTACAAATAAGTGAAAATTCATTCACTTAAGACTCATTGTGTCCTTTGTGTGCAGACTCTTTTCTAGACTTCACGGGGTGTGGTTTAAAGGGCAGATTTTGTAAGAAGGTGAAAACAGAGATTAGAACTAGTTTAAGGCACTTAAACTAAGTACAGATTTAGAATCACAGATTTCAAGAGAGTACACAACATCAACATTGCACTATTTATCAAGTGCCTATTGTAGGCACTGAGAATTCAGCTCTAAGAAAAAAAGAACACCCCCTTCCCCCCCAAAAAAATACCTGCCCTCATGGAGCTTATGTTCTGGTAGGAGAAAACACACACACACACACACACACACACACACACACACACACACAGCTTACATAGTATATTAGAAGGTGATAATTGCTCTAGAAAAAAAAGCAGGAGGATAGATTTGAGGGAAGGAAGGGAGAGATCCAATATCACAGATGATCTTTCGGGAAGAACACGTTAGAACATATTTGAACAAAGATTTGTAAGGTGTTGGAGGGAGCTTGGGGATTTAGCGTGGACGTGCGTTCCGCTTCCTCTCTTCTGCCTCTTCTACCAGGTACCAATTGGTATGAGAGGGAGACAAAACAAGCTTTGCAGGTCACACTCGCAGAAGGAGAAGGAAAAAAGGATGACAGTTGGTGAGAGGTGGATGAACAGCCATATAGTTGGGACCTAAAAGAATGGTTTCATGATGTGGGCCATTTACCTCCTTTCTAGCTAGTTTATCCACAGCAGATTCTGGGTACAGCTTAGCAGGTTTCATTGTCCCGTTGTTCGACGTGTTCACTCCCTGAATGTTACCTGATGAATCTCCATCTTCTAATTAATGTTTGAATAATCCTCCTCCCGGCCCAAACCATCCTGGACATTTCTACTTAAAAAATAATTAGCCTTCCGATGGTGCCCTCAGGGGCAATGGGTGTGTGTGAGGTCCCAGCTTGGAGTGACCTGTGTGATGCAACAGCAAAAGCAAAAAACAACAGACCCTGTGAGTGATAAAAAGGTCCGGCAGGTTTGTCAGGGCTCGGGGCTAGGTTCCCAACCAGCTTCAGTGTGTGAGGCGGGTTATAACCCGGCCAAGATCTGGAAGGCCTGGGGTGGGGGGCCGTCTGCCCTGTCTCTCCCCCCCTCCGCCCCCAGCCCTCCCCCTCCCCCGCGGGGTGACTGCCTGTTTGTTTACGGCCAGTAAATGACAGTACGTGGATGTGAACAAGTGTAGGCAGATCCCGGGGGGCCGGCGGGATTTTCGCAGCTTCTCCTCGTAGACGCGATCAGGGTGAGGCCGGCTCGCGGGTGGTGTGCGTGCGGCCGACCGCAGGCGGCTGGGTCCGAACCTGCGGCTGCGGGTGGGGCTCTGCGGCGAGAGCCTGGGGGAGGAGCGGGCCGCCGCGTGGGTCCAATAGTAACACCCCCACCCCCAACCTGCCCCGCCCCGTCGGCTGGCCTCCCCCCCACCCTCCGCCGCCCCGGCCACCCCTTCCTCCGCGCGCCCGGCCCCGCCGCTCCTCCTCCTCCCCGCTCCTCGTCCCCGCCCGCCTCGCTCCCTTCCCTCTTCTTCCCACACCGCCCTCCGCCGCGCCCGCCCGCGCGGAATCGAGCGCCGAGCGCGTCGATCGCCCTGCCCTCGGCACGGCCGCTCGGCCCCCGGCTCATCGGTGCGCTCGGCGCTCGATTCCCCTAGGCGGCGGCTCCGGCAGCGGCGGCGGCGGCGGCGGCGGAGGCAGAGCAGCGCGGTGGCGGCGGCGGCGGCGACTGCTCGGCCTGGACTCCGGGCCCCCGCCATTTCCGACTGGGCGCGAGCGCCGTGCGGGCTCTGAAGGCGGCGGCGGGGGCCAGAGGCGCGGCGGCTCCCGGGTGCGGGAGAGAGGTATGGATAGAGCAGACCTCCTCTCCTGGGCCCCTGCTGCCCCGGACCCGACCCTCCGCCCGCGCCCGCGCCCGCGCCGGGCGGGGCCGGCGGCGAGTGAATGAATTGGGGGTCCCGGCGGGGCGGGGAGGGTCGCGGGGGCCGGGCGCTGTGTGGCGGGGGGTGAGGGGGGTGTTCTGCGGCGGGGATTGAGGACTAGGCGGTGCGGGGCTGAGCAGGGTGAGGCTAGAGGCGGCCGCCGCTGGTACTGCTTCCTGGACGGGGAACCCCTTCCTTCCTCCTCCCCGAGCGCCGGGGAGGCGGCCGGCCGCGGGGACACTGGCGGGCCCGGCGCGGGCCGTGCTGCCTGCCCCGCGGGGCGGCGGGGGGCGGAGGTGGCTCCCCTCGCGCCGCCTCCCCTCCCCCTCGGCGCCCTGCTCGCCCTCTCCCCGCGCTCCCGCTCCCGCACCTCGGGTTCCCTCCCTCCCCGCGCCCGGCCGGCCTCCGGGCCGCCTTCCCCGCTGCACGGAGCATCTCCAGGGGCGAAGGGATAAACTTCTCCCCGGAGCGCAGACCCCACGGCCAGGGGTCCCTGTTCCCTGGGGAAGGGGAGATGGGGAGTTTGGGGTGGTCACGTTTGGGAAGAGCAGGGGAAAGTGCCCGAGACCACTGTGGGAGGTTATTGTGTGTTTGGGGAGGGGGGGGAAATGCACTGCAGCCGAGTTCCTGGCTGCTCCCCTCCCCCATGCACGGCTGTGACATTGCCGTGGCCACAAAGGAGGAGGTAGAGACGGTGGTGGAAGAACAGGTGGCCAACACCCTGCCGGGTAAAAAAGCCCGTGACTGAACGAGAAGGAAAAAGTTAAATCCCAGGAAGGTCTGTTCTGTTTGGCTTTGTCCAGGGAAAACGCAAACGCAGGAAACCCGCAGAGCAGAAGCGGGGCTTCATTTTTCCCTTATGTGGAGACAGTCATAGCCAGAACCATCCTTGAAGTTTAATTTACCTGCTCTTGTCCTTTTCCCTTATCTCTTTGATGTGACCTTCCTCCTCTTCCTCCTCACAGATTTGATCCTCATCCCCAGAGGTGTTACTACTCTTAAACAGCACCCAATTTAATTTTTTTTTTTTTCTTTAAAACTGAGCTACAGGAGGAGTTAATTCATTGTAGCAATCTTCCAGCCAATTGCCTGAAATACCCTTAGGCAGGTGCATGCTATGGCTGAAGTCCTAAACTAACCTTAAATCCTAATATCCATCAAAACAAGGGGTTAACATTGTCTGATTTTTACCCAACATACATGTTACATATGTAATGGAGACATTCATTTCAAAAGAAATTGTAAAGGGACAAAAGCTGCTCATAATAGTCATCTCAGAATCAACCATAGGAGAGATGTCACTCTTAAGCTCAAAATGCTGACTCCAACGTAGACATCCAATAAGGTTGATGGTAATGCTACTTGCTTTGAGACTAGCCATCCTCGGGCATACTTGGTTTTAAGAGGTAGTAGATGAGATGATAAATAAAAGTGATTTTTTTTTTCTTCCCTTCACTAGATCTTGTCCTCTGAACACATGTCCACCCCTCCTTGCTCTAGCTTTTGTAGATTTGGGTGAGGGGGGGCCCTTCTAGCATGTGATCTTTAGTAAGCTTCCTTGGGAACCCAGTTTTCTCTCCTGGACTGAAACATTACTTGATTTTTATAATCCAGTTTAAGGAATCCCCCCTCCCCAGAAACAACCACTCTATAAACAGGTAGACCAGAAAGGTGTGTTTCTCTCAGGGTTCACACACGTCTACAAAATTAAGTTCTTATCCACTCTCTGTCCACAGGGTCGCCTAGGCTAGCAAACTTTTTTGGTGTAAGGATCCCTTTATATTAAAAGCTATTGAAGATCCCAGCGTGTGGCGTGTCAATATTTACCATCACAGAAACAGAAACTGAGAATTTTAAACATTTCTTCATTCATTTAAAAATAGGAACAAGGAGCCCATTACTTGTTAATATAAATAGCTTTTTTTTTTTTTTTAATGAAAAATAACTTTTCAAAACAAAAGTTAGTGAGAAGGGTGGCATTGTTTAACACTTTTGCAAGTCTTAATTATATGACAGTAGGAGACACCTGGATCCTCATATCTGCTTCTGCATTCAGTCTGTGGTGGTCACACATCTGGAAAACTCCACCGTATACTTGTGAAAGAACGAGAGTAAAAGGGGTAATTGACCATGTAGAATTTTTATGAAAGTCGTTTTTTAACCTCTTGGACCCTCTTCCTCCCAAAAGCCTTGGGAAGCCTAATGGGTTCCTGGGCCGCTTTTGGAGAGCGAGGCTCTCCAAATTATTTTGCAGGCTTTGGTGGGCAGGGATACATTTTGGTGTGATTCTCCTCATCCAATCCATTTTATATAGCCTGCATTTGGAATAAAAAGTGGGAGCAAACAGAATGAGATACATGTTTGTAGTGACTCCCAAGGTGGCCTTAGACAAGAGCAAATAAGTCTAGGCAGGTGGCACCGAGTAGGCCAGAGATCTGGAGTATAAGAGTCTGATAACAGCAGTTGTCTGGCCTGTGTGCTCTCTGGGGGGGGGGGGGGGGGGCGCGCGGGGGGGGGGGGGGGGGGGGCCCTCAGGAATAGGGTAAAGAGGGTGGTTAGTATATTATCATTTGGAAAACCATATTATCTTTTATTTTCCGGGACTATTTGGATACTTTTTGGCATTCAGTAAATAGGATGCTGTATGTATATTGTGTTTTATATCTGCACATTCATTAATTTGGGACTGCTTATAATAAATTGTGCATTTACTGCCATTCTTTCCATGGTTCCTTATTTGTAATAATATCATGTAATTATTGAGGGAGAGAAGATAAAGTTAAATGAATTCATTTTATTTCAAAAAGTTTGAAACAACTGACTAAAAAATGTTTTCTGTCTTGTACTGATAACCTTACAAATTGTCAATATTTATTGCAACTGTTGGGAGATGATGAGATGCAAAGAGTAAAAGTCATGTGAGAACTATTCAGTCACATCTTTTTAAAAATTTCTTGTTAAAAGCAGCGCTTATTTTCAAATTTTATATAATTATATTTTTCTTGTGCAGAGTACTGTTTTTCAGCACTAATATAGATATATATGTTGTGATTGATGATTAAATAAACTGTACTTAATATTTCACAGTTCTCAGAGTTCTCTGTTTTTATCTCATCATTTCCCCCAGCAGATATTTTACAAATTAAATTGTTCATCAATTATTGTCCTTCCCTAGCTGGTTTGACTAGGTGGGTAGAGCGTTGGCCTGCAGACTAAAAGCTCCTGGGTTTGATTCTGGTCAAGAGCACATGCCTAGGTTGCAGGATCAATCCCCTGTAGGGGGTGTTCAGAAGGCAGCAGATCAATGATTCTCTCTCATCATGGATGTTTCTGTCTTTCTCTCCCTCTCCCTTCCTCTCTGAAATCAATAATATGTATATACTTAAAGTATTGTCCTTACCTACTTTGGTGTCTCAATTTTTATTTTCTCACTACACAGTGAACTTTATTTGACAATTCTTCCACCCCCCCCTCTTCCACTCCCACCCCACTGTCTGGTTCTTCCTAACTACTCTGGAAAATTAACTATGATGATTTTTTAAAATATATTGTATTGATTTTTCACAGAGAGGAATAGAGAGTTAGAATCATCGATGAGAGAGAATCATTGATCAGCTGCCCCTTGCACACCCCTTTCTGGGGATGTGCCCACATCCAAGGTACATGCCCTTGACCAGAATCGAACCTGGGACCTTTCAGTCTGCAGGCCGACGCTCTAATCACTGAGCCAAACCGGTTTCAGCTGATGATTCTTTTAAAAAATTTTCTGTAGCTCTCGGCTCCAACAAAGACACTCAGCATATCCACTTGTAACTCTTAGGGGCCATAGCCAAACTAGGAGAGAGAGCCGTCCATAGTTTTATGTGGGTGTGTCCACAGGGTATAGAGCATGTGCTAGACACCGTACTGAGTAAAATGGCATGTTCCTTTGAGAGCCATTAACTGCTATAGAACAGCAGATTGGCTGTTTAGATAGAACAACCTGAATATATGATAAAAGAACTTTGTACTCTGAATGCATTTTTTTCCTGAAAGGTTGAATGGGCAGTTTGTAAATACAGTAGGATTCATTGACAATACACATCTGTACTGAAGTTTTATCATTGAATTTTTTGAGATAATTTGAAATAATTTTCCATATAAAGGTGAATTTGTGTTAAAAGGCATTGGTAGAGTGTTTGGCTTCTATTAATCTCATGTGTGATACTTGTTCTAATTTAGTTACATTTTCATTATTTTTATTATAAGGCCTGCTGAAAATGACTGAATATAAACTTGTGGTAGTTGGAGCTGGTGGCGTAGGCAAGAGTGCCTTGACGATACAGCTAATTCAGAATCATTTTGTGGATGAATATGATCCTACAATAGAGGTAAATCTTGTTTTAATGTTATGCATATTGATTTGTGCAAGCCCATCCTTTGGGTACAAAAAAAGTTGCAATACAAGACAATTATACTGAAAATAAT